AGCTGCCGTTTCAGCAGCTCGTAGCGCCTTTCGAGGTCGTGTTCTTTTTCCCTAGGCAAGTTGCAAAAGTTCATCAATATGTTAATTACTAAATCATTAAACACTTAAAAGAACCTTTAACTTACATTGATTTTAGGACTCGTAACTGACTTTTCTCTTTAACTTTAAGCTACTCCAAACAAATGATACACAAACTTAAAACCTTGCTCAGGTGGCATATTCAGTAACAGGGCCTTTCCATTTTCTATAATGTCGGCTTTAATTCTGCCAGTTTAACTCTATTGTGCTACAGGACGTAATTATTTCATATTCATCCTTGGAGCAGCTGTTGTGGAATGTCCTAAGTATAAAACATTCCCCCGGATCTAAGGAACAAATTCCAGCATCAGCCTATTCACCAAGATAATATGACACTGGAAGTATTATCCTATATACATTCTGCCCTAATGAATAATGAAAATTAGACATGGGATTAAAAAGCTTAGTATTTTGAAGGCAGAATCTTCTGTCAAGTTCAGACACGGCAGGAAATTCGTGAACACAGGCTCTTCCCAGGGAAGTTTGCGGGCATCTACACTAGGTGGCATTACTGAAAGAAATATAATCAAACCGAAAGATGCTGGAAAAGAAGTGCTGAGGGCAGAACGCCTCTAAAAACAAGCAGCATCTTCTCCCTTCCTCACTGGTGCTAGTGAATAAAGTTTATTTGTCCTTACTTTTGCACCATCGGTGGTAATATTGCACCGTGACTGATTCACTAACATCCTTTTAGCAGGGGTGCTGCTGAACTGGCGATGGGATTGAGGATTTCTACGAAGCAGGTAGCGACTCAGATTTTGCTCTCTCTCCGAATAGTCTTCACCTGCCACATCTGAGGCACAATCCAAACCTATTTCCGCATTTCTAAAATGTAAATTTTATTCTACTGTTGGGCCGTTGAAAACGTAACTGTGCTTAGTATTTTTTTTAATTATTTTTTTTTTCCCCACAGCTCTGGCTAATCTCGTGTCATTGCACACTTCTCGTTTTCAAGTCTGAAATATGAGAAAAACAAGTTACTCGACATGTTCCACAAATTATCCATGCTGCTCACTTTTAAGGGAACATTTTTGAAGTCTAATGGGAAGAAAACAAAAAGTTTTGCATCTATCCGCTGGGTAAATATTCCAATAAAGCATCCTTTTGTTAATACATGTATCCATCCGTACTTACAGAAGAGAGAGCTGGTTCATTCGTCTTATTAAGGCATTCTTCTTATTAACCAGCATGAACCATTCCTGCATCATAGCTTCTTCTTCTTCGGTGTTTCTTCCTGCAATCGAAAGAATTTCATCACTTACGTGGCATTTCATGAATTGAGCTGCGTATCTCAATTCAGGTTTTGGAGTATCAGTCTCCAATATCATTGAGCATTACAAGGCATACTCTCAAATGGTAAAAATATCATATGTCTGCAAGTCCTGCAGCCCAATGCTGCCTGCTCCATAAAGAAATCTTTGAAAGCAGACACCATTCGGCATACATTTTAGCGTTCTTTACCGCGCTGACACCCCGACCTAAATAAACACCTCTTAAAAAGTACTGTATCTTTTAAATTCTTCTGAGAGAACTACATTGTTGCTATGTTTCCAATGAAAAAAAAAAAAACAAACCAAAAAACCAAAAACCCCAAACGCATTGCTAAAAGCTGTTTGGTCATCACAGGCCTCCAAACGCAAAAACAACCCCTGTGGGCAAGATCCACTCCACCCATGCAAAACCCAGCGCAGTCGGGATAATGTGGTAGGGATCAAAGTAGCTGCAGAGGAGATGGAAACCCTGAACCCTTGGCCAAGGCGTGGGCACCTGCTCAGCTTCTCTGGCCACTCTTCCAGACAATGAGCTGCTCCTCTCCTCACCCGCAATCAAAGAGAGCATCTGCGCAAATACAAATGGTTTTGGGGTCCAGGTGCCTAAGGGTCCCCAGTGTGTGTGTGTGCATGGACGAGCATCCCTAGTCAGGACCCTCCATAGCCTACCTGCAGGCAGTGCTATGCTCTACCAGCCTCTGTAAGACTCTGCGTTACCACCTCTGCACCACAGGGTCCTGTTGGGGAAAGGGAGACGAGCGCCCGGAAGGCTCCTGTCTGTCCTTTCCACCTAGCAGGGTCGCTTAGCCAAATTTCACTCTCTCCGAGCTGGGGGACTAGGAGAAACCTCATCACAGTCCTTTGTGAAGAGGACTGCACCTCTGTAGTGACCTGCTAGTCTTACCGCTCAAGTTGAGCTGAGGAGCAAAGACTATCTAGTCCTCACTGAATTATGAAACTCACACATTTCTTACAGTTAAAATTATTCTGGGAGGTTACAATTAATCTGAGAAGAAACCTGGAAGAGTGGCAAAGGAGCACAGGCTGGGACTTCTGAGTAACTTCTCCCAGCTTCGACACCGCTTCACCGGGAGACCGTGGGCAGATCTCTGCATTTAAGCACCCTGTGTGTAATATGGGGATAATTACCCGTACTGATCTTGCAAGGGTGCTAAAAGTTAATTCTTTGATGTTTGTACAGGGTTTTGAAACCTCTGATGCAAGATGCTGTACGCTCGGGGAAGCTATCTTATTAACTTAAACTATAGGATCCCTAGTTGCAGAGAAGCAATTTCCAGCAGCAGAAGCTGGAAAGACACCAGAAAAAATATTGTTTTGCTCTAAAAGGCGGCTTTCAATTTCTGGATGGGAGTGTTTGAAATGCTTGCACATACGTGCCTGGCACGTGCACGTTCACACTTCAATACCACGGTAGTGTGCAAGCCCAGATCTGCATGGAGAACCACCTCCTCACCCAGCTGTGACCCTGCTGCATGCAAGGGAAGGTCACTGGCCTTCTCCAAACTGTTTGATTCCTCCCGCTGTGGCCTGTGGGCTTGCTGCATCCACACAAGGAGATGAACAGGGAAGTGGGTCAGCTTGGGGTGGAGCTGGTGGGCCCACACAGTAAGAAGGTTACACCATGTGGCATGCTCTTCTTTCTGATGTGAGACATCCTCCCATATCCACCCTGGGAAGCTCCTGGTTGACCTAACTGTTCTTTGGAAGGGTGCTTTTAGGGTAAACGATTTGCTAGCAGCAAGACATGAAGCACAAAGCAACCTAAAATGAGGATGACCCTGCAGCCCTTTTCCAAGCAGAAGAGGAGGGTCCAGCTCCTGGACGATAGCGTGATGAAGGAAGAAATTTGTCACATAGAAATGCTCTACCCCGAGACCTCCGCTTCTGGTTTTGTGCAGAAATATTACACCACACATTTACAATCATATTCAGCAGTTCAGCATTCCCCCCAAAAGGATTAAAACTTACAGGTATACTTTGCCGTTAAGTTACAGATCAAAGGCGTTGCTGTATTGGTCCATCTAACAGGGTCTGCTTTCAGAAGTAGATGACAATCAATACTAGCAACCTTTTGTTGAAATGCACCAAGTAGCTGAAATTTATTTGAGGGGAGAAGGCAAGAAAAAGGGGATAGATTGCTTTTTTTATCCTTGTGGAATGACCAGTCTATTCTGTGATGCATGAGATTGCCACACGGCTGGTGAAAAAAGTCCTCACAACCAGACACAGGTAGCTACAGTAACATTTTAATCAATTTATGACACTAAATTTGTTGGTTTTGGGGTGGTCTGGGATTTCTGGCTAAAAGATGCCATTACAAATGCAAGCTTTGCTGCACTTTATTTTGCAAGCCTTGAAAAAGAAATGGGACACAGAAATGTTTCAAAAGAGTTTGACTTGATGGCAGATCTGAACTTGAACTTCATGCCATGCAGTATCAGGGCAAGAACGTAAACTTAAGGTATAAACCTAACTTAAGATATCAACTTCTTTCTATTCATGTTATTTATAATTTCTATTTATTCCTTCTAAATCAAGTTTGTTGCAACATGTAACAAGAAAAGATCGAGGTAAAGCTTAGAGCTGTCGAGTCAGATCTGAACAGGTGCCTGTTTTGATATTTCCATGCTGACACCAAAGCGCACACAATATCCATAGAATAGGTTGGTTTAAAAGTGAGTTAACAAAGTCTTGATTGTTTTTACAGAATTTTTAATCTGTTTTTGTATTCGCTTTGGACCCATGTGATGCCCTGACACCGGTCATGTGATATCGGCTGCGATAGGCACAAATCCCCGGGCAGGAACAAAAGAAGAAAGAGTAAAAAAGAAAAAGCTGAGAAAAAGCTTGCAATTTGGAAAAAGGCCAATTGTACCCCGGCGAAGGCCTTTTTGATCAGTGAAATGACACATGTGTGCAATATTAATAGCAGTCGATGCTGATATTTTATTTGTTGACCGTCAGGCTTTTAAATTCTTGCGCATGGAGCTGAAGCAGATTCTTCCCAGGCAAGAAAAATGAAGATGAATAACTTCCACATATAAGAAATTTAAATAACTCTTTTCAGCAAATACACTAGCACTAGAGCATTACTTCTTTTTTTTTCCTTGTTGGAAGGATGCACTCAAAACACATTCAACAATGAAAAACTGAGTGTTATTACTGCAGTGATATTGGAAGCTAAATTCACAGCTATAATTTCTAAATTAAAAATTTAGAAAAAGCCTTTCTTCAACACAGTTCCGCTATGTAAAACCCTGCTGCAGCTGGGGTTGTTTTTGTTTCCACTTTCCAAGTGTAAAACAAGTATTTAACTGACTTGCTACAAATGCTTGAAAATTAAAATTGTGAAAATATCTGTGTTGCTCTCTGGAAAAAAGCAAACCAACAAACTGTACAGATTATTTAAATGAAGTGAAAAACATGTTTGCGCACAAATCGATCCCACGCGTGCAAACCCCTTATCTGAGCCAGTACAAGATGATGAAAATCTATAAATAGCCCACAGATCTTAAACTTAAATTTTTTTCCATAATACATGCATTACACTATTGTTTTCGATAAAAAACAACAACAACAACAACAACAAAACCCTTTTAAAGCTAGTAAGTTGGACCATTACAAATTAATCCTGACTTTAATAACTGGTTAAAGACCCCTTCAGCTTTATAAGTAACAAAAAATATTAAAGCCTGTGATCACAGCGAGCTTTTCTCATTTCTCCTCTAACCATTTGTTATTTAATCCAATACTAGTAATCCAATTTGTCCATCAGACTTTTAAAGGGCAGAATGCAACTTCCCCAGCTTAGACACTTTTCAAAGTACAATATATTTTTCAAATGAATGCTGGATGTTTCATTTTTTTCCCCAACTGTTCCTAGCTCTAATGTATGAGGAAAAAAAGAACAAGATGAACATTGTTCGTACTGATTAAGTAAGAGCTCATTAAAGAGCTGTCAGTGCCGTACTTTGAATATGCATGAAGCATATAATCAGATCTAGTACCGTCACTAGAGGAGAATACGGTAAGTACAAAGGATTGATTTAATTACTTAGAGTGGGCTGTGGTGGTAAAGCAGTCTTGTTAGCGCAAAAAGAAAAGGAGGTTGTATTCTGGCACGGTTAGGGGAAAAAGGCAGTTTTAGCTTCTGCCACAATACCTAATCTCAGGATAAAGCACTTTACATTGTAGCTTAAAATGAAGACTGTCAGTTTTCTAAAAAGACCAGAATTCATCTTATCTTGTTTAACCTCACCTGGTTAACTATCTAGCAGAACATATTTATTCTCTTTACCATGTAATTATGCTTATACCTTTTTATCCTATAGTTCAATAATGACTTCTGAAAACAGTCTTCAAATAAGAGCGGCTAGTGCTGCAAACATCATATGCATGCAAAATGCTCGGTAAGAGATTTGAAAAATGCAGAACCAGAAACTAAGACGAAACAGTAAGTACACGGCGCCTTTATGTAAAAAGACAATACAGCTTTCAATGTTGGACTTTATTATTAGGTAAGTTCTGAAGAGGATTCTGGCACAGTTTCTCTAATTTATTTTCTTTTTCCCCCTCTTCCCTTCTGCATTTTTTATCTTTTCTTTTCCTTTTTTTCCTTCCTTTTTTTTTTTTTTTAATAAATTTTTGTTATATTCTTCCTCTAGGAATCCAGGGGAATTCTCTCACATAACTCTCAGTGCCATTTTCTAATTTCATTGTCTGGTTTGAGTGGTGAAGGATGTATGCTGCATTCTTCTCTTCACTTGACATCTACCAGAACCCTCCTCAATGATTAGGAGCGAGCCCAGCACCAAGACTGGAATAGCACAAGACAGTAAATTCTGCCCTCAGATATGAGAAACTCCTACTGACTTCTGAGTTGTGATTCTGCGCTGCAATAGTCCTGCGCAGGATTCAGTCAAGGCTGCAGTGTAAAGTTTGG